ATGCCTGTTTCTCCTTCAAGAGATTCCTCTGCCTCACACTGACCAGACGCCCCAAAGAATGGTACCAATGTGGTTGCCCCCCAGCTCGCACAAGTGGACCCTGGCTCTAGGGAGTCAGCCTGGCAGGTGGGTTGCTTCTTCTAACAGGTGCAGTATCTCTCAAGAGATTACACATGGCTGGGCTGCTAGCATGGTGTCCTGACACTTACTTTGGTAACACTCATGTCAGGCACAAAATGAGTTTAGGACTCCAGACTACCAAAAATGCACCACCTGTCTTTTGGTTTAAATGGTATGTATGAACCTGGGCATCCGCTACTGTCTATGTCCAACCTTTACTCTAGAGTACACACAGTTGGTGTGAACACTCAAGTACGCCCACACATGACATTCCACCCCCTCTGTAGGCTCTGTGTCATAAGTCAGACAGCCCTGAGGGCAGCTGGATCATCTCCTCTATGCCAGCAGCCCCTGGTGAACGTCATCTCTTGATTCTGTGAGAAGTATAATATCCTGTTCTTCCTTGTTAACGTTATTTACTGTGTTTCTAGGGATCAAACTCATAGTCCAGGATATGCCAGGCAAACATTCTACCTCCAAACCACCCTCCCAACCTTCCTCCTCATTAATCTCCGACAAAAGACTGCTCTTTTCTCCATCCGGGTGCCTACAAAGGTTTGTTCATATTTTGTATACTGTGGTTATGGCTTGTATCTGTGGTCATCACCAAGAACAGCCTTTGGGAGAGCCATTAGAGTTGGTTCTCCTGGTTGGTGTGATATTCGACAGTGTGGGGCCACACACCAGTCCTCACTGCGAGGTACCAAACTATAGAAGTGAGATTAGATTGTTTTTAAAAGAACACATTCCTAAGACCCATGGCGTTATGTGTAACAGAACCATTGTGGCCTTGTTCTCAGTAAGAGTAGCCAGCAACTATACACTTAACAATAAAGAACATAGAGAGTTCCTGGACCTAAACATTAACAGTCAGTGTTAACATACTGTGAAGAGGCTGGGCACTGTAGTGTATACCTATAATTCCAGCACTCCAGAGGCAGGGGCAGATAGATTTCTGTGAGTTTGAGGCCAGCCCTATTCTATATAGCAAATTCCAGGCCAGCCAGAGCTACATAGTGAAACCTTGTCTAACAAACAAACAAAATACTGTGAAGAATTTGTGCATCCCAAGATTAGACAGCAAACAAATATTTTTCTCATTAACCAATCTTCATTGATAAATGACTACACTTTATATGACCTCATAAATGTTTTAATACTACAATTTTTGGAACAAGATCTTTCTTGTAGCCATGAATGACTTCAAAATCATAATTCCCCTGCCTCTTAAGTGCTGAATCTACAGGTATATGCTACCACACTGACTAATAATGCATTTTTATAATAACTTTTTTGAAGTAATTCATATGCCATTACATTTATCCTTTAAACTGTGCATGTCGGTGGTTCTCAAAGTATAGTGGAGAGACATGCAACCATTTCACTACCTATAGAATTTTCACCATGCTAAAATAAAAACTGTATGTCCTCCAGAAGTCACTCCCATGTCCTTTCCTTCAGGCACTAACAGACACTGACCTACTGTCTTCTTCCGTGATTCACCTGTTCTGGGCATTTCGTACAAAAGGAAGTAAAAAATAAATGCCCGGTTTTTTCTAGTTGCTTTCACTTAATGTTTATCAAGGTCCATCCATCCGATAGCCTATGGTGGAACTTGCTGATTCTGCCAGATCGTGTTCCATTGCGTAGCTGCCCTTCGTAGTTTATTCACTTGCTCATTGGCTACTGAACACGTGGATTGCTCATACTTTGGGCATGGCAGTGAGTGCTGCTGCTGCTGTGATAGTCATGGAAATGGCTTCTGTGAACATCTAGTTTTCACTCTCCTGAGCACATCCGTACCTGCCAGTAGTGTTTCTAGGTCATTTGGTAACTCTCTTTAGCCTTTTGAGGAGATTCGAACTATTTTCCAAAATGGCTGCAGGATTTTATATTCCTATAAACAGTGTATGAAAATTCCAGTTTCCCCATGTTCTTACCAAAACTTGTTATTGTCTGGTGTTTTTGTTTTGTTTTGTTTTGTTTTGTTTTTAATAAAACTTGTCTCATGCCTGTGATCTATCCTGGAAAAATGTTCCACGTGTTCTTAAAGTATGTCTAGGGTCTAGTGAGATGGCTCAGAAGGTAAAAGGTGCTCACTGCCAAGTCTGATGTCCTGAGTTCAATCTCCGAGCCCCCACATGGTAGAATGAGAAAACTGACTCCCAGAAGTTGTTCTCTGACCCCCACACATGTACACACACATACACACACACACACACACACACACACACACACACACACACACACACAAATAAAATCATCAAGCAGAATTTTATAATTATTAATTTGTGCTATTTCCTTTAAATTACATGGTAAGAAAAAGAGAGACATGATACATATTTTACTCTCTTTTTACATATTAATGTAGGTACTTCACCAGTGTCATTTAGCTGTTTTGTGGGTTAGTGTACATCATTCTTCATGCCTGAAAGACCCCACCACCACCACCAGCTTGACTATTTCTTGCAGGATTCCTCTGCTTGCAACATACTGTCCCATTGTATTGCTCTTGAGCTTTCTTAACTTTACTTTCATTTTTAAAGGATAGTTTTTCTGGGTATAGAATTCTTGGTTGACTGTCTCTTGCTTTCAGGACTTTGGATGTGTCATCCCTCTGCCTTCTGGCTTGTGAGAGTTTTGACAAGATGCTGGCTGATAATCTCCTGTGGGAGCTTTTGAGGGTGAATTACCTCTCTTGCTCCTTTCAAGATTTTCTCATTCTCTTTGCCTTTGGCAGTTTTCCCATACTTTATCCAGGATAAATTCATTTCAGTATATCCTGCTTGGAATTTTCTGAACTTCTTGTATGTATAAGTTCATTTTTTAACCTCAAAATTAGGGGAACTTTAGTTATTATTCCTTCAAATATTGTTTCTACCACTTTTTCTTACTCCTCTCCTTCTGGGACTGGCATTTTGCATAAGCTAGTAATGTGAGGAAAACTCAAAGGTTTGAGTGCTGAGTGGATGAAATAATGATAAGTGTTGAAAATGCATCTTCCCAAGAAAGTATCAGTTAGGTCAAACAGTGGCACCATTCTGGGGAAAGAACTTTCTAAAGAGTTCTAAACTAAACTCAGCCTGCTCTCTTCTGTGAGCTCTGTAGCATAGTTATGAAGCTGCTGTTTTCCAAACTTACCACCTAATTAGTAAGAAAGACCAAGTTAAAATGCAAGAAAAATATGCTGTTTCCATTGACATTTAACCATTTCTTGAATAAATGACTCCGAAATTGCTGTGAGCCCGGGATTAATTCTCATAATTTTGGAAAAGTTGGTTTTGATGGTTTTCCTACTATTCTTGATATATTTATGAAGATTTTTCCGAGATCCACGGGCTGTGATTCCAGAAGTTCTTTGAACTGTCTGTACAAAGAGGGGACTCTGAATAATACTTCAGTGGCAGTTCTGTCTCAAAGAATAACGATGATATATTATAGACACCATGCCATGGCAAGACAAGGTTGTAAGAAAAGAGGCACTTGAGTCAGATGAGGAAAAGCAATCAGAAGCCATCAAGTGAACAACAAATAAAGAATCCCTGGCCTGGCTGGGCTGAGCTGGGTGAGGCGGGGCGGGGCAGGGCAGGGCGGGGCTGGGTGAGGCGGGGCGGGGCAGGGCAGGGCGGGGCTGGGTGGGGCGGGGCGAGGCTGAGCAGGCTAGCAGGGGAAGCTGGGGCTTTAGGGGAGGTTAGGCTGGAGGAGGGAGGCTGGGCTGGAGGAAGCTGTGGCTTCCCAGCAGGTGGGAGTGGGATGGAACTAGGCGTGGATCCAGAGTTGATGAATATCTCAGTGACCATACAAATTCCAGCTCTTGGTATCCATCTTGCCACCTTGAAATCAGAGCCATGTGCTTTTCCTGATTGTTGTTGTGATCTCCTGGGCTTCTCTGGGGGAACTTTAAAAGGAAATTAAGTTAAGCGAATGTCTGCCCCTTCCGACTGAGAGAGGCAAATAAAAAAAGCCAGACAGAAAAACAGGGAGGACATTCCAGGCCCAGAATTCACATTGTCATAACCAAGTAATAAAATAGTCTAGGAAGCTTGAAATTACTAACAAAAGGCAGACAGAGGAGGACTTGAGAAATGGGAGAAAAGCAAGAGTCCACAGAACAAGCATTTTTTAAATCGTCTTATTTATTTTTTGAGAATTTCATACAAGTATATGATGTATTTGGAGCATACCCACCCCTTCGCTGTCCCTCTCTGACTTCCCGAGTCCCTCCCTCAACATCTCCCCTTCCAAACTTCATCTCCCCGCCCCCACCCCACCCCCACCCCGCACCCTGCACCTCCCTCCTCCTTCTAATAACCCACTGAGACCTGGAGTGTTGCCAGCACATGCATTAGGACCTGGGGCCTTGGTAAGGTCTGGGAGACCCAATTTTCCCCAGGCTATCCCAAGGTTAAAAAACGTCCACTAGCCTGTTTCTCGATACTATAATAAAATATTAGAGATGGGCTACTCGGTAAGGAAGTGAGGACTACTTTGTATGACAGTTCTGGAATGCAAGGATGAGAGACCACGTTTACTGCCATAGACTAAGGTCGTACTGGGCATCAAACTGGCAAGAGATCCGGACAAAGAGGGAGAGACAATGGAGAGAGAGGGGTGGAGTCTTCTTTAAAAGCCACCAGGATTCAATCATGAGGCTCCACCTTAATGACCTTATCTGAGCCTAATTATCACCTCCCCAAACTCTCTCCCTAAACACCACAGTCAGAGTACAATGAAGACTCACTGTAGGGATCAGATTTCAATGGATGGAGCTTTGGGAGGCACTCAGTCCATACCCAACCCATAGGAGAGTCTAATTTAACAATACTTTTTTCAAGCCAATCATTCAGTAAATATTTGTATCATGGTTTTTTGGGGGGAGGGGGCTCTAGGAATTGGATAGACCTACTGCGAACAGTGTCTTCAGGATCAGCAAGGCCTTGAGTGTGAAAACAACAAAAAATACAAGTGTCTCTCAGTCTCCATGGGGAATTAGTTGCAGTACCTGAATGGAGATCTAAATCCACAGATGTTCAGTTCGCTTACATACAATAGCATTGCATTACCATAGAAGCCGGGAACATTCTTCTGGCATTTTGTATCATTTGCACATTAATTAGACTGTCCAATGCAATGCAAATGCTAATGCTATGAAAATATTGGCTATAGAATGTCATTTAGAGAATAACAACAAAAAGAAAGATAGCCCATACAAGTTCAATACCAATAGAATTTTTTTCTCCCAGTATTTCCAACCTCTGGTTTACTCCATCCACGTGCTCACGTGTATGAGTGGTGAGGGTCAAGTATGCAGCAAAGAAAAGGCATGATTTAATTGAAGTACCAGTTCATTTGTCTCTCCTCTCCTGCATTCAGAGCACACCCAGGGTAGAGCAGATGTCCAATGGCTGTGTATAGAAAAAAATCAAGAGGAGTCGTGAGAGAGCTCAGAGGTAAAGGGGCTCCTGTCAAGCCTGATGACCGGAAGTTAACCCCTAGACCCATACGGTGAAAGGTCAGAATCGATCCCCACAAGTTGTCCTCTGAACTCCACATGTAGGCCATGGCATGTGCACACACTCACAATAAATTAAATGTTATTAAAACTTTTCCATGCATGGCTTACACACATAGACATACACAAGCACACATGTGTGAAAATACATGATAAATAAAAATAATTTTAAATACTTTAAAAGAAAAAAAGACCATGAGGAGCAACAGAGAAAAAAAAACAGTTTTGTCTCCAGAGGGACCCAAAGGTGGGAGTGGGAGACATCAGTCAGTTTTCTCCATTCCTGAAGTCAGTAGACAATGGACCGAGGGCCAGTCAGAAGGAAAGCGGTGTTCTGATGACAGGTCACAGCTCTTCAGAGTCCTCAGGGGTGCTTCAAGAGCAGAAATTGCAGTAGGACCCCAGCACAAGGAGAGAGATGACATAATTGGGGATGGGTGGGCTCCAGAGGCACGTGGCCTTGCTGTGCCCATGTTGAGAGACTCCCAAGCAAAACCACCACAGAGTACAAAGGGGGTTCTTAGTAACAAGCAAGCCCGGGCTTGGTCCGTGTCCAACACGCTGGCTCGCCGCCAGGTGAAGGAGGACGGCCCTGAACCCTCAGAGTGAAGGGTTTCTAAAGGGAAAAACTGCAAGCTAGGAGGTACAAACCTTTGCATTCCAGGATCATACTTCAGTTAACAAGAACAGTTAGCCAGGAACAGAACTACAGAAGACAATACATTTGGAGACTCTCCCAGAACTAAGCCTTTATTTTAGTTTTGAGGCTATTTCTTGGCCTGTAGCCTACCCATCCTGGGGGGAGGGGGGGTCTGCCCTGACCGGAGTCTTACCTGGGTGTCTGTGTCTCTGGAACTTGGTTCAGCTTTTATCTGAGTATTGAAGTTTTCTTTAAAATGGAGTTTATCAGGCTACAGATCCAAGGTCCCACTCCTCTGTGGGCTGGGATTTATTTCTTGTGTTTGGGACTTGGTGTTTTAAAGTAGTCTGGCAGCTTCAGAGTGCAGCTTGGTGCCTTGCCTGAGTAAAAAGAGGAAATTGATTCAATCTTAGCACCACAAATAAATAAAAACACAAAAGCAAAAAAAAAAAAAAATGGAGTTCATCTTGCTCTCTCAGACTTTTTTGTAGGGCTGAGCTGAGGTCACAGGTCTTCCATAAAGTCTCATCATCATCTGCACTTCCTGTCTCTAGCCTCTCCCCACTTTATCTCTCAGACACCTTGAAATGCCTGGAATTCTGGCTGCCAGACTCACCCCAAGTAAGTGACTCATCCCCTCCATCCCCAGCAGTTTCCATTATTCCTAGAGCTTGGCTGGAAGCCTGGGCTTTGAATCTAAAAAACGACTTCCTTTCTTGAGCTGGCACCAAGGAATTCTCTCTAGATTTTTCTCCATGCTTCCCCACAATGACCAGACTCAAAGGAATCGCCAAAGACTTACTCTCAGCTGTACAGTAAAATCTTCATCAGTTCAGGTCCAGTATGGTTGGGACCAGCACTCACCCAGGGAACCCGAGTGAGCCACAATGGGGAAAGAACAAAGTGAGCTCAGTAAGCAGCTGAACACTGATTTTTCTGCCATTAAGAATACCCCTGGCCATGGTGAAGTGCTTGGATGCTGTCTTGTCTTACATTCACGGCCCTGATACAAGGCTTGGCATTTTTCCCATTTTATCGCTGTTGAAAACGGATACTTAGATCAAGTAATTCACTCAAGGTCAGGGTGAGAACTTAGGGCCTCCAAAAGTCATGGGGGGACTGTTTGGCTCTTGCTGTGTGACACTCTTCCTGGGGGGATGGGGACAAACATCCGCTCACCCCTGATAGGAACCCACAACAGACCAAAGTAAAAATACCAAAGAAATGTGGTGGGCCAATGAGTTTTATTGGGGTCCCTTACAGGAATATGAGTGAGGGGTTACTTACAGGAGCAGAAATGACTCAAAGTCAGCTGCATCACCAAATGCCAGCGTGGGTGGTAGTTCACAAAAACTGAAAACCTGGAGCACACCGCTCAGCCTGCAGGCAGCTCAAAAGCTTAGAGAGTGTCTCTCGGGGTTGGGCAACTCAGGTAGCCTGAGCCTCTTTTACCTACCACAGCTGGTTGGTCTCTTTCTCTTCCTGCACTAGGCTGGTCTCTGTCACTTTTGGTCAGTTCATCTGATCTCTGCTTCCTCTGGGTGGCTTGTCTTATGTGAGAGCACCTCTTAGCAGTCCTTACTGATTATATATGCTTGATGAGGGAGGGGCTTAGTGAATCCAGTCAGTTTCAGTAACTTCCTGAGGCTACTGAGTTGTTCACTTCCTGAGTTTTACTAAGCTTCCCTGAAGAGTAGAATGTTTCACCTCCCTTTGGAATATACAGCATCTTACAGAGCTTCCCTCCAAGATGGAAAGTTTATCTCTGAGGATACTGCTACACAACAGCTTCTACCCTGCTAGGAAACACTGTCCCAGAGTTTAGGTTAGAGGAGGGGATGTTCTTTGTATGTTCTGTTAGGAAAGAGGAAGAATAAAAGAATACAGAGTTGAGCCAGAAGAATGCAGCCCTCCCCTTCACTAGCTCTGTGACTTTGGGTGTGTTATTAAACTCTCTGAGACTCAGTTTCCTTATTTGTCCAATGTAAAATAGGCCATCCTTCTTATGGTCTTTGCAGACACTATCAGCCATTGTCCATAACACAACGTGCTTGGAGCCTGATGCCAATACGCTGTCTAAACATTGCCTCTTCCCTCTCTGCTCTGCTGGGTGTTGCTAAGAGTTTGGCCACATGGGATACAAGCCAAATACTCATTCCCGGAGCCATATGACAGTTGGAACCATGGAACCAGATTCTTACCATGGAGAGACTGAGCTGAGCAAGATCACCAGAAGCAAAGACCTTGAGTCTTGTGGGCTGTAAATGAAGGGTGTAATATTTGGGGACATGGTACTCATATGAACCCCAACAGGTGAGAATGGGGAGCCACAGCATGCTGTCACCAAGAGGAAGTCCTTAAAGGTCACTTGGAAATCATGGCTTATGGACATGGGCATGCAGTAGTACCAGGGGTTGGGAAAGGCTACTGAACTTTGTGCAATCTCATGACATGGGGAAACTTCCCTGCACCTCTCTGATTCCCTTTAATAACCTCATCTGACTTAATTCTCCAAGAACTCATTAAATCTTTTCTTGGTACACTGTTCTCATCCCATGGCTTCAACAACAGAGAAACAAGCTCCATAAATTGCTCCTGGCAGGAGGTTCCTTTTGTTAATTTTGAAAATAAACTCCTTCCAACTTCAAAGGCTTGGTGGTCACTCTGAGACCAGAAAAAAACATGTCAGCCTTCATCCTAACCATGACCTGATTCTAGAATGAGTTGTTCCTGCCAATCAGAACATTCCTGGTGGGCATGTCTTCATTTACTTCATCTGCCCACCTTAAGGAACTCTGCCTGGCCTCTCAGAACCTTCTGTTAACAGACTGCTGTGCGGGGGAACTACCCGACACCTGCTATCAACTCCAGCTACTTTGCCAATTCTCTTCCCTGCAAGCCCTATGCTTTCCAGCCTCCTGCAGTGGGTACTTCAACGGGATGTTTCTCTAACTTAGAAGAACCAATAGCAGCTAAGACTAAATCTGAGGAGGGCCAGGACCCTCCTCACCCAGAGAATCCCATTACTCTCTGTGTCAGATCTGTCTCATGGTACCTTGGATCCTGTAGCTCGAAGAAAAAACAAAGACTGCTTGGCTCACAGACCCATAGATGTTACTGATTTCATGGCACTGAGAACATCATCCAGGCCACAGGTGGCTCAAACCCAGCTCCAGGGAGATCATTTTGCACGTGTGTATATATAGAATGTACAGTTTCTACTGAGTCCCCTTCTACATATTACCATAAAAATTCACAAATTTATGACTAGCTCTGCGGCACTGTAGGACAAAATAAAAGGTAAACATAGTATTCATTCTCAATGCAAAGATACTCTCGTGGGGATTTAATGTGAACTATGACGAATAATGACAGAATACAGCAATTAAGATGCGGGGTTGACAAACTGCTAGATTCAAATTCCAGCTTGACCACACCCTCGCTGTGTGACTTCAGCAACTGCTTAACCTCTTTGTGACTTGATTTTCTCATCAATTAAAATAAAAATAAGACTATCAATCACCCCAAGATTGAAGTGGTGGCTTAGTGGTTACAAGCACTCAAATAGCTTTCTGCATCTGCCACAGTGGACAGAGCTACCCCACACTTCCTTCTGAGTCATGATGGATTAAAGTCCCTCTGAAACCTGAAGCTGAAATAAATCTTCCTCTCTTAAATCTGTGTCAACAATTCTGTCACAGTAATACATACATGGCTGGGGGCTTCTCAACTGTTTGGCTTAAATTTCATGTAACATGTGTTTTAATCATCTAAACCATGATACATAGAAATCACCAGTTCATTAGCTTACGATGAGAAATTAACTCATTCTTATGCAGGGTCTTGAGTACAGATTTCCCTTTTAATTACAGTGTATCCTGAGACTAAAAGTCGTGCTGTGAAAAGCTCATCACTATTACAGAAGTTACTTAACTTGTAAATCAGAACTTCTTGGTGCCTGGCAACCAAAGCCAAAGTCAGGAAATAAACTGAGTACCAAGACTAAAGCAACTATGGGATTTGATACGCACCCCCGTTAACCCCAATTTCAACTTCCTGTGCTCTCCATATCACCCTATTGTTCACACTGGCACAAAGTAATTATCATTGATTAAGGTTTGATTTTTTTTTTTTGGTTTGGTTTGTTGGTTGCTGTTTTTTAAAAAACAGAAAGAGGAGGGAGGGAGGGAGGAAGGAAGGAAGGAAGGAAGGAAGGAAGGAAGGAAGGAAGGAAGGAAGGAAGGAAGGAAGGAAGGGAGTCTCCCTATGTACCCTAGGTTGGCCTCAAACTGACAATTTTCTTGCCTCTACTTCCCAAGTCCTGGGATTACAAGCATACACCATTATGATGATGACAGTCCACCAATTAGGAATCACAAAATAAAAGCATAGGAATAAATATGATATTTACCTCTTACAATTAAGAACTCCAAGCAAAGATTTTGTTTGGAGGGGTGTTTGAACCCCTCTGTAGCTATGGTCATGATATGTTTGTGTCCCTCTATGCCCTCCGTCACACCTCTCCTCAAGCAAGCTATCCATTTTATTCCCATGACCGAGGCTCCCTTCCACCTAAACCCTTCCAGGGACCCCTCTCACTCCCCATAAAATAAAGCAAGCAAGCTTCAGCACAGCAGAGGAGAGCAAAGCAACCTCGCATCCACGCTCTCATTCCCAGCCTTCGGTCCCCGCCATCCATGCCTGCTGTGTCCTAGGAAGTGTCAGGAGTTCTCAAGCTGTCCCCAAATGCTTTTGTTCTCTCTTTCCCTCCCTGCCAAATTTCCCGACTCAGCTCAGATCTGACCTTCCTCTCTCAAGGCCCACATCAAATGGAGTGTCTGAAAACAGCTCCACAGTGGTACCTTTGGCCTGGTCCTGTACTGAAATTATTGGTGTATGCCTCCATGTTCCTCAGCAGGTTGCCATTGTCTGCTGAGATGGTGAGATGTTCATCTGCATGTTCTGGTACATACTGGGGTTCGGTGATGTGAAAGGAATACTAGGGAAAGATGGAGAGGGGGGGAAGGAGGGGAGGAGGGAGGGAGGGAGGGAGGAAGGAGTGGTGGGAGGGAGGGAAGAGGACTAAGTGGTCACCTCCCATACACACAGAGGCTGCCCTTCCAAATTAAATTGTGTTTCTAAATCATCTGTTCCTTGTGCTTTTAAAGTAATACCTTTGGTTTCATTTCAGTCCTATAGCAATAGTACTTAAGAGGCAATATTACCTACATAGTACAGATGAGGACCCCAAGACCCAGAGGCGAGCACGGAAGGACCAGGGCCAGGGCCAGAATCTAGGGATCAGCTGAGGGTCTGATTGTTTGTCTCTGAGGACCAACTTTATCTCCCTCTCACTCCCCCTCTTCCTCTCTCCCTCTCCCTTTCTGCCTCTCCCTCTCTCCTCCTTCCCTCTCCATCTGTGTATGTGTGGTGTGTGCATGCATGCGTGCCTGCCTGCCTGCCTGCCTGTCTGTCTGTCTGTCTGTACCCATACATACGTATACAGAGACACATTTTGGGAGGAACCACAATACAGGAGGGGGCTTTTAGTCTTCTCTACTAACAGCAGCCCCACCGAGGCTAGCCAAGGCATGGATTAGAGATGCAGTCTGTCTCGGGCTTTTCGTTCTGTGCAGACATGCCAGTGTGGAAACACACTTCTGAGGTCAAGATTGAAACACTGTTTACCTCTGTCGACTTTCTCGAGGTATTGCATGATGATAAGTGGGCAATTTCCACATTCACTGTGTCGGGTCTTTCTTGTCAACGAGCATTTCTCTGTAAATGATTGCAAATAGTTCTGGTGATGTCTGAAAATAGCCATGGTTGTGCTCTTGAAGCAAGTAAGCAATGTGACCATGGTGTCTGCTTCCGCTTGGTGGCCAGCCCTCTGGAGGCCAGGCTGGTGTTTCCATCCTCCTCCCAACTCCCTTCATGACCTCCTCAGGATACCTCCCAACTTTGTATGTGTTTTAAAATAACCCACTCAATTCAGTTTATGCTGCCCGTGTGCATGGGTCTATCTGTACCAGTTGTCATATCCTCAGAAGAGAGTGATTCCCCCCATTCCACTAACCAGTGCTTATAGCTCCTCAGCAAGGGCTGGACCTGAAGATTATCTACCCCATCGATGCTGAAGTTTTGGCTGGCTTCACTTTCTGCTGCTGTGAATGACTGTGATAGCCATGTCATGCCCAGAAGCCAGCATTTGAGAGCATTTCTCCCTGCCCGACAGCTTTTACACGAGTCTGCCTCCTCTTCCACAAAGCTCCTTGGGCCTGGGGAGAGGGAGTGGGTATGTTCTGTGTAGGGCTGGGCACTCAGTCTTATTCTCAGGACTTTGACGATTGTTGTCTGGCTCTCCGTTGTCTGATAACTGGGCTATTATTTTTAGTTAATTTTTAAGTTAGCATACAAAGTAACAGATTTTACTATGATATTCTTTTCTTTTTTTTTTTTTCCAGACAGGGTTTCTCTGTGTAGTTTTGGTGCCTGTCCTGGATCTCGCTCTGTAGACCAGGCTGGCCTCGAACTCACAGAGATCTGTCTGGCTCTGTCTCCTGAGTGCTGGGATTAAAGGCGTGGGCCACTGCCGTCCAACGTCTCTGATACTTTCTTACATAAATGTTGTCATACTTTGTTCATTTCATCTCTCTCCCTCTACCCTCCCTAAACCAGAGCTACTTTATTACTTCTAGTCCTCAAGACTTAGGTAAGGTGTGGCGTTCAGGATATACACATTCAAAAAATGCAGTTTTCCAAGATAAACAAGGCAACTGGCAGTGTTTCTAATAGAGGCTGGACACCACCATATTTTACATTTGGCCAGCTTCACTTTACTTCTAAACCTTTCTGGTTACTTTGACTTTGCTCTTTGTATAGTTTGAATATCCCCTTTCCCCCATCCCCCCCCCCAAAAAAAAGTATGTGTGCCAAACTTAATCTTCAATGAACAATGTTAAGAAGAAATTTAGTCCAGAAGATTCCTGCCTCACAAATGGATTAATGCCTACCAGAAAAGGAGTTGTGAATGTATGGTCCATCTCAGTCTGTCACAGTCTATGGCCCCCCAAGCTTCTGCCACAGATTGACAGAGCAAGGACAGTCTCGATAGATCTGTCCCCTAGAAATGCCTCCTCAGGAGGCCTCAGGATTGAATCTCAGTATCACATATGCCAGGCATGGCAGAGTATGCCTGTAATCCCAGCACTCAAAGGATGAGATAGGAGGGGTAGGAATTCCAGGTCACCCTTGACTACATAGATGACAAGTTTGAGACCATCCTAGGCTACATGAGACCCTGTCTTCGGGAGAGAGGGGAGAAAAAGAAAAATTTATCCCTTGGTTTTGGACTTCCCAGTGATGTGACCATGAGCCAAAGGAATTGCCTTTATTTATAAGCTTTACTTATAAATCTCAGCTATGCTGTTATAATAACCCCCAAATGGGCTTGTTTTCCTGCCTGCTCTGTAAGTTAGGCAAGGCGTGTGCTTTTAGTCCTATTGTATAAAGGAGAACTAAGAACGACAGCAAAGTCTAAGGACTTGGCTGGGCTGGTTAATAAGCAGTGGAGTCCGTGGTGGAACACCAGCTTTGGGACTCCTGTACCAGCACCCCTCTCTCCTCCTCACCCAGCAGCCCCTGTCCCCGCCACCCATGGAGCAACTAGCGCGTGAGTGACAGACTCCACATCCCACCTGACCCTGGTGGCTCTCATATTTTCTCTGCTTTCATGAGTGTCCCCTCTGGTGACTTGGCCTAACCGAGACTTCTTCAAAATGCATGTGACTTCACATCCCAACCCCTTCCTTGACCCTACATGTCTGTCTTTCCTAATTAGCTTTCACTCACCAGAGCATTTATTGAAGTCTGCTCTGTGAGAGTTCTGGAGTGCAATCTATTTGTACACTAGAGTTTTCCTCCGTGTTTATCTCATTTGAATTCTGGGCGGCCATGTGAGTGGAGATCATAATGAATCACTCTGGGTATTTTTCCACTGAAAATGAATCCAGGGACTGTTAAGAGGCTGGAGCTCATGTGGAAATG